TCTAACCTTGGACTTACTTTGCTCCTGATCTCAGCCTGGGGACTAGGTCTGCTCAGCTTTGGCCCCCTCTGGTCCGTCTACGTGTTTGTGCCTCAGGTGTGCACATGCAGCTTCCATCGTACCAGGGGTCGTCCCTACACCACCATCCTGCTGTTCTTCTATTTCTTTATTGGCCTGGGATGCGTTGGAGCATTCTACTTGCTCATTTACAGAAAAGTTCGAATTGCATCAAAGGCTCTGCTTCGCTACAGGCTCAGTCGACGCTCATCCAAGAAGAAACCTCCCCCCTCTGATCAGGGGACAGATGACAGTGGCGTGGAGAGTGGTGTAGCAAAGACATGCAGCTCTGAAATGAGCAGCCAGGTAGAACTGGACAAAAACACAGATACTGTTAATCAAGAAAAGTCGTGCCCCCCACCTCAGAGCTCATCCACAGCCCAAAAACCATCAAGTGACAATCTGACGAGCCAAAAACCTGCTGCCGCTCCCGCTCCCGCCTCCCAACCTGCAGCTTCAGGAGACGATGGTGAATTCAAGCGTGTGACACGCATGTGCTTCACTGTGTTTCTGTGTTTCGTGTGCTGCTTCGTCCCCTTCCTGATACTTAACATAGCCGACAAACAGAACCGCGCCCCGCAGGTTCTGCACATGTTCTGTGCCAACCTCACCTGGCTCAACAGCTGCATCAACCCTGTGCTCTACGCCGTCATGAACCGGCAGTTTCGGCAGGCCTACAACTTGCTGCTCACCAGAGCCGCTGCACCCCTCACCTGTCTCTGGTCCTGCTGGCGGTCCCCGAGATCGTGATTTTCTCAAGCTCACACTCGCCTCACGTCTCATGATGAATTTTTACATTGAACACTTTACACACCATATTACTATATTTACAGATTGTACTTAAAATTTTGATGTGCAAGACTTTTTTTGTGTTTGAATAAATTTCATTCTCGTTTTGTAATAAATGGTATTTTGTAGTGGCAGCACGGTGGCACAACTGGTAGAGCTGCTGCCTCTCAGCGAGCAGGTCCCTGGTTCAAACCCCGGTTCAGCGGCCTTTCTGGGTGGAGTTTGCATGTTCTCTCCGTGCATGCGTGGGTTTTCTCCGGGTACTCCGGTTTAACTCCCACAGACCAAAAACATGCATGTTAGGCTGATTGGTAACTCTAAATTGTCCCTAGGTGTGAGTGAGAGAGTGAATGGTTGTTTGTCTCGTTTGTCTCGTTTGTCTCTATGTGGCCCTGTGATGGACTTGCGACCCGTCCAGGGTGTACCCCGCCCCTCGCACAGTGATTGCTGGACATGGGCACCGGCGACCCCCGTGACCCAAAATGGAATAAGCGGGTAAAGAAAATGGATGGATGGATGGATGGTATTTTGTAGTGCGTGCCACGAGCTCATTCAGAGTTTGAAGCAGAAATTAGACTTCTTGTGATCACAGCTTGTGAAAAAGTTACATCATACAAAACGTACCGGTGTTACACAATCATTGCAGGACATTCCCTGCTAGCACAACCCTGCATTTAAGAAAATCAGGAACTTGTGACTCCATCGTTTGAGTCAACTAAAAGACCAAGACTAAAAATGAAGAATCACGAAACGGTCTTCCTTATGACATGGGTGGAATATACATGTGCAAGCATGTTTGAAGCTATTCAGTGAGTATTGAGGTTGTTTTGTTCCTTATATATACATTTTTTAAACCATTTATATCTTGAGCAACATCATCAGGGCCCTGCCTTGACTGATATTACTAACAGTTAATGCTTTCAGAAACTCTTCACTCTTATAGTTTATTGTTGGAGAAAAAACATTCTCGCTTACGTACGTTATTTACCCAAAAGCAACACACTCAAGACAGAACAATTTTAACCGGCATTTTACTTGCAAGGACATAATTTCAGTGCAGGTTACATAAATATACATAAATAACCACATGAAGACCAGTCACAAGAATCTGCCTTGAGCTGCCTTCTCCGCTCACTTTTATACCTTTATCAGCCTCATCAGTTCAGCCGAGTTCACAGCGCTCAGGAGGTGTTCCTGCCTCCTCACCCAGCACTCTCCATTAACCCAAACATATGGTTCATGGGCAGATATTTGACATTTATATAGCAGGAATCTCATTTGACCTTGTTTTTAATCCATCCATCCTCTTTTTATGCTTCTTCCTTTTTGAGTCATCAATGGTGCCCATATCCAGCAGTCCCTGTGCGAGAGATGGGGGACACCCTGGACAGGTTGCAAGTCCACCACAGGGACACACAGAGACAGACAACTATTCACTCTCTCACTCTCACCTAGGGACAATTTAGGGTTACAAATCAACCTAACATGCATGTTTTTGGTCAGTGGAGATGAGTACCCAGGTGAAAATCATACATGCACGGAGAGAACATGTAAACTCCACCCATAGGTCCCTAGCCAGGATTTGACCCAGCTACCTTCAGCAGCTCTACCAACTGTGTTACTGTGCCCCTGACTCAGAGATTTTATAAATAAACTCAATAATTACAAATGCAGGGACTCCTAAAGTGACAGTTAAAATCTTTTGAAGAGGGGTTCTGGAAAAAGAGATGAAGAACATTTAATAGTTTACTTGTTGTAGATAGCTCTTTGACCAGCTTCAGTTGGAATAAGGATTAGTTAGTCCAGCTTTTACATCACTGTCCATTTATTCTGGTATTTATATAAAACTCTGTTTATTTGCAGGCACAAACAGCAGCAAGCTGGGAACATTCTAGTTTCTGCAATAATCAAATTGACAGCTATGTAAGAGTTTATAAGGGTTTATAAGGCAAGCCAATCATAACTGCCAGCATGCATCTACAGTGGTGCTTGAAAGTTTGTGAAGCCTTTAAAACTTTCTATATTTCTGAAAATATGACCCAAAACATCATCAGATTTTGACTCAAGTCCTCAAAGTAGATAAAGAGAACCCGGTTAAACAAATGAGACAAAATATTATACTTGGTGATTTATTTATTGAGGTAAATGTTCCCCTGCTGATCAGAAGCACCACTGTGTGACAGGTAAAGAACAGGTTGTCGTTGCAGAACCTGTTCTGAAAAGCTTGAACGCAACACTCAGTATGTATAAGTTAAATGGCAGAACAACTACACAACATTTTGATATTCCTGTACAGAGAAAATATTAGACACAGTGACTTTACAAAATGTTCTTATTTTCACTTTTGGCAGATAATACAAGCAAAGCGTAACAAGACAAACATAGATTGCAACTTGAACAATTAAAGACACTCCTTCAACAATCATGCATGTGTCTAAACAAGCAAAAAATAAACTGTTCAACTCCCTACTGGTGACCAAAGATTTTTTTTCATTCTATCCTTCTGGATGAATATTTTAAAATGATTTATCCTTGTTTTATTGTTTTTTTTTATTTTTATGTTGCTCACCACCCTTAGATCATCTCCTGTGTTCTTTCTGCAGCTTCCATAAAACAGCTCACATGCACATATTGATGTCGCCTGATATGGAGACTCAACACCTAATAAATTATTTTTGGAGACGGTGCACTTAAAAACATTTGATTGGCTAATTTTTTTCTGCGATACAAAATCTCTCCAGAGAGCACAGCGAAAAGCTCATGTTACATTTTTACTGTTGTTTTTCTTTCAGCTGCTCCCTTCTGCAGGGGTCACCACGGTGAGGGTTGTCCTTTCTTAGGCAACCTGAGCTCAAACCTGACGCCTCAGGATCACAAAACCACAGTACTGACCACAGAGCTACCACAGCCTTTAAGCAAGCCTTGTAATAAATGTGAGGGCGGGCCCAGGAGGCCATCTTATCACCAGTAAACTGTTTTTTTTTTTCCACTATGGGAGCGTGCTGTTTGCGGTGGGAGTCAGTTTGTTGTGGCTCCTCAGATTGAAGAAGTCAAAAAAAGAAACCGTCCAGATGACCTGACTGAACGTTGTTGGATTTTTACCTAGAGCATGCATGGACTTTGATGTCAAGCCATATAATGTTTCATTTCTTAAATTAGTTTGAAATCAAAATCGTTTCACTTTTATATTAATCTTAGTTTGACTGTGGGTCTTCACTGCATACTTTGAGGCCCTGACATTTTACCATAGAAACTTGCGTCCATTCCCACCATCAAATTATTAAGAATGAAGCGGTTTATAGCAGTCCACCTGGGTCTTGACTCCACTCAGATTAACGGTTAGCACATCAGTCACTAACAAACATTTTATAGATATTTGTTCATAAAAATTCCACAGAATGTATTTTCTGTATATCTGAACTATTTATTTAGGGCCAGAGAATATTTTGGCACAGTTTGTGGAAACTCTTGAATTATTAACTTGCAGATTAAGAAACCAGTCCGCTGTGGCAGCACTAGTTGCAACTTGGACCTTTTTAAGGACATTCATGTGCAACATACTGGGTTACAGCTACCAGTGACAAAACAGGAAAGCTTTCAGATCCTAAGATGGAGCAACAAGGTGTGCAAATAGGAAGCGTGAACAACAGCTCTTATTTTTCTTTTCATTCATTCAACATTTATTTATACAGGACAGGTTAATCCCATTGAGCCTCAGGGACTCATTTACAAGATAGATCTAGTTTTAACAGAGTGATGACAACAGTGGACAACAAAGACAACAATAGATAATCATAAAGGATGCGTACAAATTGAGAATAAGTGAAAATAAAATAGTAATTAAAAAAAGACAGCTAGGTTTTAAGGTGATGTAGAAAACGAAAACCAAGAACATGTAAAACCATTTAAACCAGGTACAAGATGGATTATTAAAAAATGCTTTTACTTAATGGGTGTAAGGAAACTATTTTATGTGGAGTACCAATCCTCTTCCAGGCCTGGCTCCAAAGTAGAGGATGACATATTTTCAGGAGTCCCGCAGGTCACAGGATTCCCGCAGGACTCCGGCAGGACGGGAGTCAATTTTAATATAACTCACGATTGGGAGAGGACAAGATGAAAAGTTAACAGGAGCAGACAAGAGCGGGAACCAACCAATAAGACAAAAAAGAAAATGGAAAGAATAAATAAAAAATTTTGGACAGGCGCCACTATTTTGTAGTTTTCTTTCAATAAGCTTCACTCTGATACCAGACCTGCAATGATCCAGTCTGTAAATGATGCTCAGTAAGCTGCATGACATCCTGCTTCGCCGAAACGAGCTCGTTACCTCAACCACATAGATTGTTAACTTCATGAGGACCTTGTCCAATGTATACGAATGCCTTTAAGCATTTTTATTTGTTGAGTTCTCTTGCTTGGTACATTTTTTTGTTTGTTTGTTTAAGCAATTTAAAACATGACAGTAATGTCACTGCTTATAGAAAACAGTTGCTCAGTAAGTTAGTAAAATGTAACTTTATATGTTGTTTGGGTTCATGGTGTGACCCATGTAATATTGTTTTTCTATTTTTTTTTGTTTTTACTGTAACAGATCTCCAAATGAGCTAGAAACAGGGACTCAGCAGCTGATCCTCCATAGAAAAACTATAGGAACCACACATTTTACATTTTCATACAAAGAAACTGGTCCAGATGACATGATTTAACCATTTTTGTTGTTATCTACCTGGATTATTGAATTTACAACCCTTTTTATATGGACTACAGGCCATGTCTTATTTGTTTTGTGACCTTGAGTTCTTTTTGGGGGGATTAAGGCAATAAATGCCTCCCTATTTCACCACAGATGAACTGTTCTTGTTGCCATATCTTTTTAAATAAAACTGCAGAACACAAAGTAATATAAAACAAATGGGTAGAAGATCAAATCAAATTCAATGTATTTCCTAAAGACTAAATGAAGAAAAAAATTGGAGCGGTTCAGGAGTGGGAGTCATTCTGAAGGAGGGAAGGAGTCACGTTACCAGGAGTGGGACAGGACATTGCGTTGATTAAATTCTTATTTAATTAAACAAGTCGTGTTGTATGATTTTGATTGAAAAATGTAAGCCAGTAAACTAGATCCAAACATAAGCAGTGTGTCAGCATGCACACACCCTTCATAAGCATTCAATGGTCTCAGTGCTGAAAAATTTCATCTCAATATACGATGTCAGTTGTGTTAACTTAATCAGCTAGAGATGGTTGCTTCAGCGTTCAAAGTGGAATTGAAGTCACGAGTATCCAATCAAATTGCAGGAAATAGCAAATTAAATAGTTTTCCTTTGAGCAAGATTCATGACGTCAAACAAAGGAAGTTGCTCAAGGGAACTAAAATCAAACAGGATGAGGGCAAACATTGGGGCTGTAAATCTGAACGAGAACATTCAGAAATAAATCGCTCAAATGAGGCCTACATGTCTTAAGGATGAGAAAATTAAAAAATAAAATAAAAGTTTTAAGAGATTTTTTTTCAATCCAAATTTTTAGTTAAAAAAATTATCCAGATATTAAAAAGACCTCAGGTGATCGGTTTCTGAGAAAAGAGGGTGTGACCATGAAGATGATGTGACAAGAATGTGTGGAAAGTTACAAAAGGCAAGATGTAAAAGATTAGAATAATTTACCACAGCATAAAAAAACACAAAAAAAACAAAGACAGTGCCTTCATCTTGAATAATGATCATTTCTTTTTTTAACATCTAGAATCAAAGGAGTGCCATGTTCCTGAACAATTCTGTGTACCAGTACTCTGCTTGAAACATTCAGGCTTCACAACAAACGTCAGGGTATTAATGGAAGTGCCATCTATGTGACGTAAAGTGCTTTATACAGTACTTTCACATAGAGGTCAGTTTTCTTTAATCTCCCTCTAATATTTGAATAAGTGGGTATTAAAAGGTTAAACATAATCCAGTGTCTCTGTTTCCTTCATAAGAAATAACTTTGTGATTATGAGATAAGGTGCTGGGTCACTCAAATGCAGAAAACTAATAGCAAAATATAAAGTATGTTTGTTACCTATATATTTTTTTGTTGTTTGTTTGTTTTTGACACCGATAAGTACTACTGTAAAAAATGACAAGTAAAGCGGAAAACAAGTCATACACACTGGTTACGATGAGAACATTTCTACTGGAAAATGCCTCCACAGGACTGAAGAGGAAAGAGGCCGGTTGTCATAATGGAGAAATCAGACAGTCCTGGTTCATGTTGCAAGAAGTCACAGTTCTCAAAGTTGATGGTGGTGTCAAAGCCCACCAGTAACTCCTCCTCTTGGTGTTCATCAAAGACACTCAGCATGGGATCATGGTCATACGTCTCCATCTGTGGCAGCAAAGGCTGAGGTTCCACCACTTGTTCTGAGAGCAAAGAAATGGGAAAAGAGAAAGTTTAGGGATTTCTGTTTGCTGGCATGAGTTTATTTTTAACACTGCACTGGTTTCAAAGGGGAAATGAAAGTGCTAAAACAGTGATTTGCTCAGAGGCAAAAGGAAAGAAAACTTGAATGACAATGAAAGCCCAGAAGTGTTGATTTCGTACAACACACATATTTATCCTTTTTTTTTTTTTTGCATTTTAGATTTTGTTTACCTTCATCAATTGAAGTGAAACAGCACTGGAGCCTAAATAAACAACTTATTTATTGAAACAGATAAGGATTTTGAGAAGCACATGAAGTCATAAACCATTTATAACATCAGAGTAAATTAAATGAAAATACTGATATCACTCAAACATGGGACCTAAATGAAACCGAGTGAACTGAAAGTTATGTCAATAAACTTCCAAACAGGAAATTTAAAGCTCATTATATTGACATAATTGTGGATTAAAGCAGAAAAAAGGTATTTTGATTGTAATTTTTTCTACACCTAGCCATTACCCTACCCAGAGTGTTTTAGTTGAGGAGATATATTAAAAACATATAGCACAGGAAGTCCTTTGAAGGATAGAAATTAACTTGAAATAAAAATTCTAGACTGAAATCTCTCTTCTAAAATGACTATTTCATTCAAAGCGATTATATTCACAGGATTTCAACTCATGTAGTCATTTAATATTTATTTTTCATAAAATGAAGTTTAGCTCATCCAAACAGTTGGTGCTAAAACACCGTACAGAACTGAGTTTTAGAGAGATTTATTATAAACTACAAACACCTGAAATTGACTCTCAGAGAGAACTTGGTGAGTTCAAGGTCAAAAATTAAAGTTAAACGGAGACACGTCTTTATTATATCTGGGGTGTAAATATTCATCTTTAACGCTTAATATTTATTTAGAAACGCTAAAGCAGCAGAAACAGCCTCTCTCACCGTGACAAACTCAACGGGCTGAGCGCTCACGCGTCAGTGCACGTCTCTCTCTCTGACCTGGAGTTTGGTCATGCGTGCAGGTTGCACGTCTGTGCGATGACGACGCTCCGAACACATTTCACCTGCAGTTTGTTTCTGCTGCGCACACCCGGGCTCACCGTGAGCCAGACAGCACGACCCGCCCTGCTCTGACTGGGTCAAACTGTGGCTCTGGTTCTCTTTAATGTTTGACGACACCTGAATTAGAAGCTCCTTAAAGTGACAGTTCAGATCTTTTAAAGAAGGGTTCAGTAGAAGGTTTATTAACAAATAACCTCTTACTTGTTGTGTATATTTAAAACCACCTCAGTTTGGACAAGTTGAGGTTTAATTCTCACTGAACTGATGAGCAGCTTGTGGATTGTTGCCATATTAAAACAACTCCACTCTACAAAATGTCATAGTGGTTCATGCGAATGTTGTTATATAAACGTTTACATTGGCATCAAATTCACATCACAGTTATTCTAACAGAAATTATATGATATTCCTTCTGAAAGTGCTAAAGCTATTTACTATGCCTGTAATACAAAACTGACAGTAATGATCCAGTGAGGCCCTGTCCTCACTTCTCCATGTATTTTTAAAACTGGTCATTTCTAATGTGTTTGCACGTCCTATCCACAAAAAAAAAAAAAAAAAAAAAAAAGGGTTTTGTCGAGAAAAATAGATGTTTTAAGGACTTAGTTTTGAATGTTCCTGTGTGAACAGGATTGCCTGTTTTCACATTGTGCCCTACCTCAAACACCAAACAACAAAAATAGGAAAAATAGAAACTAGAGTTCTTATCAATTTCAGGTTCTGACTCACTTCATCCTGATCCTGTCACCATTAAACTTTGATTAAGTGCAGAAATAGTTACTGACTGAGATAAAACTGTAAATTCAAGGATTCAAAGTTGTTTATTTGCCATACACATGTGCTGCATGGGGTGGAACAGTAGAAATGTTGCTATCAAAGAAAAACATGGAGCATTGGGAAAATCTTTGATCAAGTTAAGCATTCTCTTTCTCTGTATTTTGATTTGTCAGTAATGAGGACATTCTCACCATCTACTGTCCCTGAAAGGGTATTACAGGAATTATATGCAGATAGGGAAAAAAATAAATAAATGTAGACAAACAGTTTAGAAAGAATCACTGAAGTGGTGTAGATAGTGCCTATATAACATTAGCATGGTCCAATATAAAAGTGTTTCGTTAAAATATTTAGGCTTAACTTGTTAGCTGTTGTTTATTTGTTCAAACTAGGATTGCTGTCAGGTCAAGTTATTGGTGACCACGAGTTTTTGGTTCTGTTGAGAAGTTTCTGGATCTCCCAGGCTGTGCTTAATTTGTAAACTGATTGATGCCGGAACAGCGGGCAGGCGGGGGGGTCCTCCAACAGGAAATTTTGAATAACAGAGATGCCAGATTCCTGCATTTTGGTGTATTTTAACAGGTTGTTATACATCAACATTTACTTACATTTGTAAACACTTAATAAAATTCCTATTTTGGAGAGGAACAGCAGGTTGTGTGTGAATTAGAGCAGCTGTGATTCTGTCAGGTGTCCTAACCCTCCTCCTCCCTCACTTCACGGTTCTGAGCTGAACTCTTCTCTGCTATTGCTCCAGTCTCGTGGCACCGTTTGAAGCACCTGAAGGCTTCAATTCTCTGTTGTCCAACTAAGGACATCCATCCATCCAACCATCCATCCATTTGTTATTAAAGTCAATTGGACTGTCTTTTTGACATTTTGATCGCTGTTGTTATTTTGACAAATTAGCGCCGTTGTTTTGAAATGTGACATATAATGTGAATAACACATCAAACATTTCTATTTTTGTATTATTTATTTATTTATTTTTTACAGTAATCTTTTTTTTATTTATTATGTCTGAAATGTAGCAGGAGTTCAGACATCTGCTGATGTGTTGTGATGAGTTGCCGGAACAGAACAGGTCAAAATGAGAGAGTTCCCGGATCTTGTTCCGGCAGGATCTGGCTCAAATTAACCACAACTCCCAGGAGTGGAAATCTGTTGCTTTGGTTGTTGACCAAATGCTTTTCTTTAAAGCAATTCTTCAAAAGCTTTTGTTTTTATTTTATTTGTCTTTTATAAACAATGTATTAGTAGATCATTTTATTCCTTCTTTGTAGATTGTCAATTCAAGTTTATGGTAATAATAGTTTGTTACACAAAACTATTGGATAAATACTTCTTAAGAATTATTTGTTTGGCTTGGTTTTTTTGTTGTTGTTTTTTTTTACTAGATTGCCCTTTGCAAACAATTGTTTATGTTAATTAGTACTGTTAATTAGTACTGTTAATTTGTACACTCCTTTTTAGTAAAGCAAACAAGCAAACAAAAATGATCAAAATAATAAATCACTTTTTCTATCAAACCCATTCCATCCAGTTTAACATTCCCTCTAACTGAGCTGCGTCATAACAGATGTCAAATTTAATAAATGCCAAAAGTACAATTTCTTGCCTGAACAGATTTCTATAACAAACCAATATCTGAATGGGATTTCAGCTTAACAGTAAATGAAAAATAACCACTGTCTCTGACACTCTTTTTAAAATTTCAGACACTTTTAATGGTAAGAAATTGTGCTACATGCTGGGGGTTCATGGCTGGGAAAAGCCATCCATTAAAGTAGAAATCATACTGAACAATTTAAAAAAGCATTAAATTTGACACACTGCTTGATATTTGTCATTGGATGCCTTTAGCAAAATCTACCATCAGTGAGCAGAACAACTGTCGATTCAAGCTCTCAATAAATTATATTTCTACAGTCCTCTCACTAGTGGTGATTCTAGAATCTGACCTTTAGGGGTGCTTAGCCTCCAGTGCTGACTGGGAGCTAAATTTTGAATAAAGTAGATGCCATTTCCTGCTTTCTGGTGTATTTTAACGGGTTTTTAAATATCTATGTTTACCTACATAAGTAAACACTTCATTCAATAACTATTTTAGAGAGCAACAAGAAGTAGCCTGACTAACAGCTCTCCTTGTGTGGATAGAGCACGCTCTGCTTCTCTCACGCATCCCTCTAAAAGCTCAATTTAGCCTGTCTGAATTACATATTCTCCACTGACAATATTTAATCATTTTTTCTGATGATTTTTCATGAAGTCCCTCTGACTGCAAAATGTTCATAATGCAAAACCCCAACAATGTTGTCAGAGGAAAAGGGAGTGGAGCTCCTGCAGGTAAGGGGCGTTTCACTTCAGGATAGATTCAGATCGCTGATTGGTCAGTTGCTGACGAGCCTACTGGATTAGTAACAAGTGTCGTTAAGGATTCAACTTGTGCAAAAAAAAAAAATCATACATTTTACTGGCTCTTTAAGAGTGTCATCATTTATTCTATATTTATTCCAAATGTATTCAATATTTTGGTGAATGTAAGATTTGAGAAATGAGTTTCCTTACAAAATTGTAATGATGGTTTCTTAATTTTTCAGGGTTGTGAGTTGAAATTTAGGGGTGCTTGAGCAAAAAGAAGCTAAAATCACCACAGACTCTAAATGAGACTAACCTGTATAAATAAAAGCTGAATGAACAGTGAAAAGCATTGTTTACAGTGGCTAAAAATGTACAATATGACCTCAGCTTGTTGGGTACGAAGGGTTGTTTTAAATCACTTGAACAAATTCAATAAAAAACTACAGTTAAAGCAGGCTTTTATGAAAAGTGTACAGGGATTAAATGACCAAAAGCTTAAAACTGCCCAGATGTGAAAAAAAAAAAAAGCACACGTTCAGTTCGAAATGTAATTAATGTAAGCTCAATTGCTACTAACATAACTGATTAAACAATTTAGAAATATCCTCATTAGTTTTTACTGCTGGTTTATTTGATCACAATGAAATTAAGTTTTCATGTTCATATTAACTGTGAAAGCATGAAAATGCAGAAATAAAACTGTTAAATGAAATAAAGGAGTTAGTAATCAGTTTGAATACCACCAAACCCTTCACAGTCAAGAGATTTTATGAGCACAGGAAACAAACAGAAGATGTTCATGCAGCAGCAGCAGCCAACATCCCCATGACACGTCATTCAGAAGTTTAAAGGTATCATTGCTGTCACCATTAGCTTAAACTACAATGTCTGAGCACCACAATGATAGGGGAGTGATTTGGTGAGGGTTTTAGCTGGATTGGACAGCAAGGAGAGCCATGACTCACCCGCGGCCTCTCCACATGGGCCATTGATTGGCTCCAGGCCTTCACCCTGTGCCATGTCACAGGACATGGGTGATATAGCCTCCAGTGCATTCCTACATGATCAATAACAAACAGCCATTACAACCAAACGGGGTGGGAAAAACTATATTTTAGATCAAATGTATTTGACCTTTTTATATTTCTATGGGGAGTCCTTTTGGGAAAAAATACTTATTATATATTTTTATTCAAACAATTAAGACAGTGTAAATCAACTAAGAAATGGACTCACTCTTTTGAAATAAACACCAGCTTGGTTTTGATGTACTTTATATAGGGACTGTCATCTGGAAGAGAATTGGTTCAGAGGTGATTAAAAGAGTGGGTTTTTTTATGACAATGAAATATTTCTGTCATGACATGTAGTGCCAGTACCTCCAGTCTTTTCAGAGTAGTACTTTCCAAAAGCCTTGTCCTTTGGTGTGTTGGGATACAGGTAAAGAAGAGGATTTTCTGGGACATTGTTAGCTTCTAAAATCTGGAAATTCCTGATGATTTCACAAAACGGTATCTGGGAAAGGTCAGCTTTGGTGAAGGGTTGGACTGTCTTTATGTCAGGCACACCTAAAACACATACAAAAAGAGACTATTTGTATTTGTATATTGAAGCAAGTGTTTGAAAATATGTCTTCCAAGTCATCACAAAAAGAAACCTCTCACCAGTGGGGGTGATCTCCACCCACGAGAAGGTGATTCCTCCGATGACGCTTTCACTGAAGCGCAGCAAGAACGTGCCTCTCTGCTTCTTCTTCAGCAGGGACTTCTCTTTGCCTTTGCTCACAAAACCCATGATGAGACTGCATTTCAAGGAAACATTTTATGTTTTACTCTTTAACACAGCAATAAACTGGATTGTGGTGTACATTCATAAACACTAATTTCACTTTGATGCTGATGACACTGTGATGTATTTGGTAGAATCCACACCATATCAGTCTGTGATCAGAACGGTAAATCTGAGGGCTATGAAAACCCCACAAACATTTGGTTGCAATGTGTGTGCTCTTCCAAACATTGCTTACAGGTGAGCTGTGTGCAAACATATTCAGGTAGGTGCTAAGTCTCAGAATTACATGTGCGGGAATGCCAAACAACTTTGCGTTATTACAAAATGAGCACGAGTATCTCACTTTAGCTGTCGGTAATCAAAACATAATGACTGAATGGTGTATAAATAAATGTCAAAAAGATGTTTAAAAATGTGATTTATCTGTTTAAATAAAGGTTGAATGAATGTTTAAAAATAATCAGTAAGAAGAAATTCTGAGGAGTACAAAAGAAGTTGAGTTTAACTTTAAATAAATTAATGTTTAAAGAGTTTTATTTTTCTTAAATAGCCAGTTAGACTAAATAGTGAAAATATTAGAGCTTAGAGGATTAAGTGCAGAACTCACTTTGCTGAAACTTGTTCAGGCATTTAATGCTGCTTGTTAAGAGATTGAAGTGAACTTTAGTTGCACAGAAAGCCTTTAAATCTTGTTCAAAAGTCTTTTGCAAGTTTGTTTTGAACATGTTAGTCTTCCACAGCTACTTATTGTCTAACATGTTTAATTCCAATAATTACCTGTTCAAGTGATTCAAGTAGAAACATGGTAAGGCTAAGAAGTGAGACCCAATTAAAAAAAACAACACACAAACAAAGATGGATGATGGAACAGCTGTTCCTGAGAGTCCCAAAATTAAAACAAAAGTTTCGTGCTTTCTCTGCTGCTGCTCGTAAAATGTGGCACGACCTGCCTTTGAGCATCCGACAGGTGTCCTCCCCGTCTGTTTTTAAATCGATTCTTAAAAACCATCTCTTCTCCTTGGCTTTTGATGCCACCTGAGATGTTGATTTTATCTAATTTTAGTTTATTTTTAACAAATTTATTTAAATGGAATTTATTTGTTTTCAGTTTAAAGCTGTTTTTGGTTTGCTTTTAAATGTTTTTTTAAATGTGGGTACATACTGTCCTATATACATGTACTAATGTAGTTCCTGTTTTTAGTTTTCTACATTTGTCTTGGAATCAGCTGTTTTTTGTTTTGTTACCTTTTCCTTTTAGCCATCCTATTTGTGAAAAAAAAAAAAAAAACAACTGTAGTATGCTTTTTTTTTTTTTTTATAACTGTTTATTGTTGTTGCTGTTGTCCATTGTTGTCATCTTTCTTTGTTGAAATCAGGTCTCTCTTGTAAATGAGTCCTCGAGGCTCAATGGGATTTACCTGTATAAATAAAGGTTGATTGATAATGATGTTTTAATTGACTGCAACTGTAAACTTGTTTATCACCCCCCCCACACACACACACACACACACACACACACACACACACACACCACAACTGAAAAATCACAAAGTAGGGAGTCCAAGAAGTCCAAGTTCAAGTTAACTTTATTGTCATTACCATCTTATGTGGTACATGAGATGGAACGAAATTATGTACTCAAGAAGTAAGTAGTAGTTTATTTTAGTATTTACAGTAGTAGTAAGTAGTAGTTTATTTTAGTATTTACAGTAGTAGTAAGTAGTAGTTTATTTTAGTATTTACAGTAGTAGTAAGTAGTAGTTTATTTTAGTATTTA